CTTTTTAATATATACATACATACAAAATTTAAAAAAAAACATAGAGGAAAGTTTTAATAATATGAAAAATAGAAATCCTAAAATTTTAAGAAAAGCTTTTCTAAATAAAATCTGAGTAAAACTTGCGACTTTTTGCTGCCACTGCGTAAACATTCTCCCCACACTTCCGGAGGTTAGCAGGACCCACCTCGGACACGGAAATCACACAGCCGTCACTTAGAAGGAGTGTGTGCAGTTCCGCACACCTAGTGCCCAATCCTATAACTCTAGAGACCTACTAGGCCCGTCTGTCGAGATTTTTTCAATTAGCTTACAAAACAATTTTTCTTCAGAAAAGGCCAGCTGTCTCAGATCCAAGAGCACCCTTGTTTTCTGGTCTGGGTTCAGAATTTGAATTCTACGGAGTTCAATGTTAATAACTGAAACAAAAAACTGGGTCGACTGTTCAAAGCCGATTATAAAACGAAATTAGCCGACAAAATATATTATACGATGAAACTTACAGAATGAAACTTGTTTTATTCAGAATGGTGTTCGTATGGGAAAAACTCTATATAAATTCCATCTGATTGTCGAGTTTTTTTTTTTTAATTTATACCAGTCTCAAAACACAACTTCAGCACATGATATGAAGTGTTAGCTGGTCATATTTTAAGTCAATATAACTCAAATATTGTACTTCAGTGCTATCTATCACGGACAGTTCTTAATTTAAATTATCCAAAGTGTCCTTTGATTAGTTTTTATGACGTTCAGGCCCGTATAAGAATGGGCCTGAATATGGCCCTGATCATTTATGACGTTAAAGAACGCCCAGCACAGACTTTTAGGTAGAGGAAGATTAATTTTGCCAACCCCGTGTAAGCCCATGTTGGCCTAGCATGACGCATTCGATCTCATTTTAACGAGTCACTTTGTTCAGATTATTTGTATTTATTTTTTCTTCACATAAATTGCTATTTACTTAATTTAAAAACCATTGAAACCGATACTAAATTAATTTTTTTTTGTGGATCTAGCTCAGCCGTAACTATCGCTACTGCTTTAGGATTCTTCATCTGGGAAGGAGTTGGCATTTTATAATATGGGAAATTAATTAGGCCTCAATTTGTTTTAAGAACGGTGATGGCGTTAGCTATATGGCAATGATATAACCATGAACGTTAATGTTTAGGAACTATCCACTTTGGCGTCATTATGACGCTTTTCTTGAAGTTTCTTTTCGCTCCGTTGCGCCCTCTATCGACACTAAAAAGAAACGGTTAGATCATATTGTAGATTTGAATTTTTGATACTCTATACATTTAGTATTTCAGCCCTATTTTTGTTTACTTCTGTGCAAATATATTTACAGTATGAATAGAAAATATTTTCTTTAGATTTATAGTTTTAAAGTTCAGTTCTTTTCGCTTTATTTCAATAAAAAGTCTTGAATAAAGATTGTGAGAATTTATGATAGTATTTAAAATAAAATGATATTGTGCATTTGTTCAGAAGCATAAAATCCAAACCTTTTGTCGTAGAAATTTTTTCCATTATTCTGTTTTTATTAACTCCTGTTTATTTCGTTCTGTCATATGATAAATTCTACTATCAAGAGAGGAAAGAAAAAAAATCTAAACTCATAAGGTTTTTTTCCTATTTCTTCTTCTATAAGTTTAAAAGGATTATTGGTGCATGGCATCCATATAAATATGTATTTCATTCAACGTTAAAATAAATATCAAAAACTAGAAAATTTGTGAAGATAAAATACTTAAAATAAATCGTAATTTATTGTTTACACAATTCGTAATTCTTGATTAGCACACGACATGTTTAACGAACTAACATGTAAGTATTTTATGGAACTACAATAAAACAAATAACCAAACGATTAAAGTAAATTTCATAAATTCAATTCGAAATAATAAAAGAACATGTGACTAATTTGCATTTTTTACTGTATTAATGAGAGCAAACTAAAAAAAAAGTAAAGTAAAAAAGTTTAAAAAAAAAGGTAAATAAAACGCATTTTCATATGCTCTATGGCGGAACATGTTTTTATATTTTTTGTGTGGATATAACTCTTACCATATACAATCATACTGTCTTCTTCTGAATCAGAACTGGTATGGGATTCAACTTGACATCTGTATTTACCGCTGAGTTCTGTTGTTGGGTTTTCAATTTTAAATGCCCTGCCTTTTGTGTAGGTGTCGTCTAGGTCAAGTTCGAAGTCTTTAATGACTCTGTACTTTTCGGAGTAAATTTTGGATTTCATTTTCGGAATCCATTGATAGACAGGCATCGGATCGTCTTCAAAAAACCACTTCACAACAAGATGTTCATCTTCTCTTTTATCGTACGAGTATTCACAGTCGAAAAGAACTGATTCTTCTGTTCCATTTTTGACAAAGTCGGGAATAGTGAGTTTCGTTATATTAACAGCAAAACATTCTGAAAAGGAAAGAAAAAAAATTATTATTATGAAGTGCCAAACATCCCGTCATTATACTCTGTTGCAAGTTAAGAAAAAACCATTATCCTTATGGAAAACGCGCCTGTTTGCACGCCAAAAGGATGCCAAGCTCCAAGCGCGAATGTATACCAACATCATTAACAACACTATTGTTGCACAGTCTTCTTTTTGCTTGCTTTCTTAAATCGTGTAAAATGAGAAAAACAAAACATATTGAATGAAAACTATTCCCCCCCCCCGTAAAATTAGAGAATTGAATCATATTTAGATAATACTTTCTGCTTGCATTAGAGAAAGAATAATAAACATTGTTTCTTGCCGACGATTTTCTTTTACAGTGAAACAAAAGTAAAACTCTTTTATCTCGCATTTGATTTGTTAAGGGCAAGCCAGTATAAGAAGCGCCGTTTTTAGTCGTCCAATCAAATTCAATTCTCTTGCTACGTCAGATAGTTGTTTCTTTTTTAAGAACGAACATTCTCTTTATTAATCAAAATGTGTCGCAAAGTCTAGTATTCCAGTAAGACTATGAAAGTATAAAATTTTTTAAATAATTCTATGATATATATTCTATAAGATAGCACGAATTAAATTTCTGTTTGACCTGTTTAATTTTTAAAAGCTTTTATATTGTTTTGAAAGCATATTTGTATAATTTGATAATGTAATAAAACTGAACTATCTATGCAGTTGAAGATAATTACTTAAATCCTATACCACAATGTTCTTCTCTTAATTTACAACGGGGTATAGACCGATAGGTAACACAGATTTCTCAAAAGCTGTTTTGCATAAATTCTTATTCCTTGTTTTAGATTGTAATAGTAAGGAAATAGCAAAGTTTGGCATAGTATTATTAAAAATACTGTTTATCTGGAAAGCTTTGTACAATGTTACAATTGTTATTCTAAAATTACGGTAAAATAACTGGCAGCTGATTAACCGTAAAGTTTACGGTATAGAAAGTATACGGTTTATCTGGAAAGCTTTGTACAATGTTAAAATTTTTATTCTAAAATTATGGTAAAATAACTGGCAGCTGATTAACCGTAAAGTTTACGGTATAGAAATTGTTTTTCCTTTATGGTTTTGAAACCATTTACAAAAGTATGACTATAAAACCATGAATAAAAAACTATATGGTTTTACAACTGGAATTTTTCAAAATAGAAAAAAAAATTCTTATTTAACTAGACGTTGTTTGTTTAGCGTTTCTGGAAAGCTTTAATAATAGTAGTATAGATTTAACTAATTTCCTCCAATTACGCATCAACTGACGTTAAATTTCCTTTAAAAAACCTTCCGAAATCTAAATGAGATTTAAGAATTAATTGAGTTGAAAGCGTTAACTTAGCTATTTTTGTTAGTTACGATCATTAGTTGCTTAAAATTCCGACGTTTCTATGTTTTTGAGAAGTTTAAAATAAATCATGATCACCTTTCAGAAAGCGGAAGCAAAAATGTCTAATTTACATCTGAAGTAATTTATTTCCCCATTTTCGGAAACACTTTTTTGTTACCTTTAAGACATTTGCTTATTGCTGAATAAATACTTTTTGCGAATTATTTTTGTTACTACACGTTTGTTAGCATTCAATTTAAAGAATTTTGGCCATTTATTTGCAAGAACCTTTTTAAATGTTAATCTTAATTATTTTTTAAATAAGTTGAGCTTTGCTGTTCATTGTTGCTGATATATTACGAAAACAATGTTGAACAATATATACACTGCTCAAAAAAATTAGGGGAGCCATGTACTCCTCTAATGTTTTTGAAAATTAGAGGAGCAGATGGCTCCCCTAATTTTTTTGAGCAGTGTATTTTAGAAATTTTAAATTACGTAGCAACTAAGAGAGTTTAATCTTTAAGTGATCCCGAAATCTTTAAATTTTTTTTTGTGTATTTATTATTGCTAAACTACTATATTAAAATATTCGAGATTGGTTTTAAGATGTATAAGAGAATATTGGGAAAGAAAAACTGCGTGCAAAGAGTTCATTTAAATTATTTTTCATAAAACATTTTTCGATAACGATTTGCGAAACCTTTCTTTTTAATATTTAGAGATAGAGATATAGAGATAGAGATATAGAGATAGAGATGCAGAGATAGAGATACAGGGATAGAGATACAGGGATAGAGATACAGGGATAGAGATGCAGAGATAGAGATGCAGAGATAGAGATGCAGAGATAGAGATGCAGAGATAGAGAGAATATAAGGGTCACGGTACATGTGGGACAAATTTTTTCAAACAAATATAAACTGAGCAATCTTTTGGAGGCATTATATAAACTCTAACTTTCAACTGTTAATCTGTAATCCATTTTCGAAAGCTAGTAGCATTGTGCATTTTTTTTAAATTAAAAAGGAATCACAAATTTAAAATTTCTAACAATTCAAAAATAAATTCTTTTAATGATTCGTACATTCATTCGTTAATGTGCCAATTCAAATATTTTATATGATTAGTTAAATAATAATGAAACTCAGTAGCAGAAACTTTAATTATGTGTAAAAAGTTTTTTATATGCAAATTAATATTAAAAATACTATGGTTATTGATAAAAAAAATGCTTTAAATCTCTATTTTCGAAAGAAAAGAATCCTTAGGGATTCACGCGGTAATTATCGAGAAATTTTTTTTTTTTTTTAACTGAAAAGACCTTTTGGCTTAACATCGCTCGTAATTTTTTTAAATAATGTAGATTGAACAAAAGAATTTTTTTTGCGTCATTTCAGTTTTTTTTTCTTTTGAAGTTAGGTCACAAAAATTTGTTTAGTTTTTTATATTTAAAAATTATATTTAGTTTTTTATATTTTTCGTTGAACGAAAAACAAACTTTTTGATGCAAGTTATAAAATATGTTTCTACTTTCTTCACCAGGGAAATATTAGACCTCGCTTGAAATAGACATTTTCTTTTAGAATTCAGATACACAAAAAATATGTATTTTTTAATAGTAAATTTAATCACACAAATATTGTGTGAAAAGTTTTATTCTTGAAAGGGGCTGTGTCTATTTATAAATTGAAAGGGGGCAAATGCCCCCTTTTTTCCCCCGGGTTCCACAGTTTCTGCGTTAGTTTCAAGTTTAAAACGTTACAAAAACTTCTGACTAACACTCTGAATAACGCTTAATCTCCTGATTGGAGGATTCAATATTAATGGTTTGAGGGGGGGGGGCTAAAATATATCCCAATTAGTTAGTACACACGATATGTAAAGTTATGAAATTAGACACACGAATGTCTTTCAATGAATAAACTCCTCAAAATAGAGGGGTTAGTCACAATCTTGGACATATGGCCCCAATAGTTCGCTTATTTCGCACTATCTGGAGGAATTTTCTAAATGATTTGAAAAAATTTTCAAACAATTATAAAATAAATTTATCGAAATATTATTTCCTGTAAGAGATTACTTATATCAATTATTCATTATTATTTTATTTTATAATATTTGAAAAATTTTAATTGTTATTTGAATTGTATAACGAATCTTCGTATAATTTTAAAAAAAATGTAATTTCATATGGCTAAATACAGCGTTTGAACGAAATATGTCGAATACTTCCTGGGAAATCGAATTTTAAGTACATGACTTTTAGTTGATTCAAAGAATGACCACTTGCACTTGAGAGCGCTTCATTTAAGAAGGTGCTAAGTTTGGAAAATATGGAATTTCTCATAATTATTTCTATACACACGTCTATTTTTTAAAAGAAAACTGAAAATTCCCACGAAAAATGCATGCTTATTTAAAGAGAAATTATGTTTCTGTATTTTTGTAATCAGTACTGATTCACGAATCCTTACTTAATGATCTTTACTTATTTTAGTGCGTGTCTTGCGTTGTGTAATGTACAATGTTGTACTATAAAAACTGATCACGCCCCCAACTTTGGGTCACTTCAAAAACTATTCTGGATATTTTATTTCCATTTTTTTAATAAAAATATTGCTGTTGCATTAAATACTTCATTCCATTAAAAAAAAGTTTAATATTACATAACTACTACAAAATTCATTTGAAGTCCCCCCCCCCAATAGTCAAAGCAACTTACAAAAACACAGAAATTGAGTGAAGTAGCAAACTTTGAAGCAAATTCATATCTTCCCCTTAACTCTTCGATTTTGAGATTTGCATTAATAATTCTTAAGAAAAACTCTGCAAGTAGTAGTAGATATGTTAGATTATAAACCTTGGCATAATTTCACCAATGGGTCGTTGTGCATGAAATGGCGGTGACATTTGGTAAGTCTCCAAAGGAAAATCTTCTTTTTGTGCAGACGATCGAGTAGGTGAATGTTCTATCAGATCTCATGGCTTATTGGTATAGAATTCTATGTCTAGTGTAAATTTTATCGTGCCTGCTATTATTTTCAAGAATCTTTTTTTTTAACGCTAAACATATCAAATGACCGTTTAAGAACTTTGGCACGAATATGCGCTTATCATCTAATCGTTTTTGCACATTTGACTTCATGACTTTTTCTAAGAATTATATGTAATTAATAATAGATTATTATTTTTTTGTATTTTGCTTGTTTCGAGTAATACGTGTCGCATACTTATTTCCACCACAACCGGTCATTTGACCGGGAGAACAACAGTTTATTACTTTATAAGGTTATTAGAGTTTATTACTTTATAAGGTTATCGGATAAAAAATTACGATGTAATGCATGTTCAACGTATTGCATTCGATGAGTTGCACATTTCTGCCAAGACTATTGAGTAGTTAGTTCAATCAGAATAAATGTAAAATTGAAATTCCATGAAGGTACCTAAAATTTTAATTTGACATTTTTGCGTCAGAAAGAGTGACAAAAACTAAATGTTTTGGTAAGTAGCTTATATTTTATTTGGATAGCTTTACTTCATTTCTAACTAATTGTTAGTTTTTACTCAGAAAACTGTCGAAACAATCCAGACAGCACAAGTTCTTAGAAGAAATAATATTAATTATAAGAA